AGAGGTGGGCCTGGAGTGGAGCGGGGATGGGAAGAGGTGGGCCTGGAGTGGAGCGGGGATGGGAAGAGGAGGGCCTTGGAGCATCCCCCGGGCCAAGTTGGTGCCTGTTCTTCTCCAGGGAAGCTGCTGCTGCTGCGAAGGTGCTTCCTAGCATCCTTGCCTGCAGCAGGCTGTGCCTGTGTGGGATAAGCCAGGGGCACTTCCCAACCACAGTACAGTACTGTACAGTATATAATGCCTTTTGTCTGCCCTAAAAAAATTTCCTTGGAACCTAACCCCCTGTATTTACATTAAATCTTATGGGAAAATTGGATTTGTTTAACATCGTTTCACTTAAAGTTGCATTTTTCAGGAACATAACTACAACGTTAAGTGAGGAGTTACTGTATTATGGTGGAAGTGTGGCTTTCAGATATTCAATGCATTTAATATATTTGCCTTTTTAATAAAACAGATTGAAGATACATGTCCACAAAACACAGGCCCATCTCTCCTGGTTAAATCTCCAAGAAGGTGAACCTAAATTTGCATAATTCTCCATTTGTTATATTGCATTTAGTTGCTGCTTGTAACAGTAGGATGAGAACATTAAAAAAATCAGAATACAGGTTATTGTGAAAGAGAAAGGTCCTCATTTTCTTATGGGTATAAACCTAAAAAACTTAACAGATAAAATAATACTTAGTACTTATATATGCTTCACATCTTCAGAGTGCCACACAAACATTCATTTTTCTAAGCCTCATAACATCTCTCTAGGAGAAGTGTTATTAACTCCATTATACGAAGCAAAGTGATTTTTCCAAGACCATCCAGTCCGTAGCAGAAAACTCAGGAGTTACTTGTTCCCTGTCCTACAGTCTAACCATGCTGCCTTTATGGCTGAGTAGCAAGGTCGCTTTGATCAAGTCGGAGTGATGCATCTTTTAGTCTTTGCCAGGCACATATCTATATTAAAGATGAGAATGTCTCTGTATTATGCATGCAAAGAGGACCCTCACTTGGGCAAAGTTTTGGAGCCTTTGATTTAGAGTTTTGTGAAAACCCAACAATAAGAAAAGTACAGCTTTACCTGACGGTCAAAGCCTCTGATTTCCCCCTGCTCAGATTCTACTTCCTCTTCAGTGAGTGAGACCAAGGAGCCACGTTCGTCACTAGCAAGTGGACTTCGCCTGAGGTCTTTGGAACTCAAAGAGGAAGTCTCTAAATTTGAGGAGGGCTTCTTATTATCATCGGAGTCTCCTGCAAGGCCTTCTAGGCTGTAACTGAAGAAAAATCAGAGAGGTTAGACCCTGAAAATTCTTAATGCTTTAACATACAATGTGGCGCCTGAACTGTGTGCATGAGACACGTTCTAATTCAAAAAGGATGCAACCTCGACATTCACCGTGGAGTGAAACGTATATTATTCCCTCAGTTTGTGTTACTTCCTTGAGTAATATACGTGACCTACTGCAGGTAGCAGCTTGTCGCGTTCACTGCAGACAGCAGTATCTTGGTACACTCAGGCAAATGGTTGTGTGAGAATAATGGACCAATACATTTCTGTGTTATTGGACTCCTTCTCACTCTCTTGAACAGTGCAAAAGAAAAACCGGGAGCTTTCTTAGGTGTGCTTATTTCCAACTCATTCTATTCTCTCAGCTTCAAATGATATACTGGATGCAGCTCAATTTAAGTTAGACATAGCTGGTATATCCTGATGCTATTTGCCCCTGAACAGAAGTTCTATGCTCAGATGTTCTATACCCTCCCACAGCTATGAAGCCATTGGTTTATAGACAGCAATATATTGAATGTGTACAACTCTTCTTCGCAGAGATGTTCCTTGATGCTGCTTAGCATTTGCCACTGTACAAGGCTTTGGCAGAAAGCAGGGTATTAGTGCCAAAATCTAAGTATTAAATAAGTGCTGTCTCCATCGGCCAATGAATCACATTTCAGCGTTTGCCTCTGCAGCTAGGTTATCCAACTGAGCCAGACACGATCACTTAAAACAAAGCAAAAAGCATTTGTCTGCAACATTGGTGCTTATGAAAGAGTTGGCCAGACTCAGCCACAGTGACGGCTGCTGATATGCAAGTTTTCCCTACGAAGAGCCACGCTAGCGTAGCTCAATTCTCACTGGCAACACCAACCTCCCTCCCTTCCCTGCTGCCACACATTACATTATCGTCCCAGCCTCACCGTCCTATCAAAAGCACTGTATTCAGCACCTCAATGCTGACCTGCAGCATCCCTTGCAATTCCAGGCCTGGGTCACCCTACAGATCTGTAGAGTCACCTCATTCCTGACCTGCAGTGCCCCCAACTATGCCAGTCTTAGATCCCCAACATAGCTCTATCACTGAAGCTCAATTCTCATGTGCGGCAAACGCTGCTATTCTGATCCAGGGCCTTCCTTGAGAAAGGTGGCTTTTGTTATGGTCCAATATACAGTAGGAACTAAAGATGACACCAATACACACATTTTCATTTTTGACATGAATGAGGATTTCAACCCCTCTTTCTAAAGGTGAAAGATGAACAAATTAGTCCCAGTGCACCTCCTGACATCTTTCGGATAGGATCCTGCTATATAACCTTAGCATTTCAAATACTTCTTTTTTTCAAACTTTGGAGTTGAATCAATTGCTATTGAATGGCCTGTGAGTACCTGAAGACAAAATGTCAATTACAGTGACACTTTTATGTTATTTTGATTGTCCTCTCTATGCATCGTATATTATCTGACAAATTGCTGTGGTTGGATAAGGGGCAAGTGTTTTACAGAAAACATTTAATATGTACAACACACTTGGACTCAAGGTTAATCATGAAATCTAACTCACTATTGAGTTAACATTCAAAACGTGTTAAAAGGGAAAATAAAATACTTTGTAATGTACAGTGGAGATTTAAATCCACGTAGACACCAAATGGATACTAGTATTCTACATATCGCTGGAGGAGCTGATGGTTGACAAACATGTATCATCTCGAAAGCAAAAGCTGAAGTAAATCTTAAATTAGAAGAGACAGACATCCGTCTTCCAAAGATTTTTTTCAAGTTAGTAAACGAGAGGCAGACAAATCACAGAATTTGCAATTTTATCAATTCACAAAAGCCTTTAATTGCATTGTATTTAGCTATAGCATGCATTGTAAAATTTACTCCCAAACATCTGCAAGGGGAAATCTGTCCCACTCCTATTATCTAGGGAGGACAGGCTTTTATTCTTGCAGCCCAAAATCACGCTGGTAGTTTGCTGTGATCTTGACATCTATCCTCTAATAACTGGGCTCAGAACAGCAACTCTCTTCAGACATGCCATCAAATAGTCATCAGTTGATAATGCTCTGTGGTTTTTACCTACTGTATTTGGATCACATTTAAATCAGTGTTCTAAAATAAATGATCTGTATTCCAAACTTCAGAGTTATCTAGCCTCCAGAAAATACAGTTGGAAATTCTATCCTTTAACTGTTGAGGCAAAAATAAATCTGGGTCCAGATCTTCAGCTTTGCCAATGTACCTCCGTTGAGGATCTCACCTGTGATAATTAATTCTGACTCTGGACTTTCTACAGGACACGCAAGTTTTAAGTGCCTGGGAAAACCAAATCTGTGGTTATCAGATTTTGTTCTAGAGAGGTTTAAATGACTAGCTTCTCTGCTCAAGAGAGAGCAAAAAACTCTCATTGTACTAGAAGCAGTCTGTATGAATGTAAATGCCTACAAAATATCAGTCAGAATGGAGGAAAACATAACTGTATCTCAGGGGTTGGCAACGTTCGGCACGCGGCTCGCCAGGTTAAGCACCCTGGGGGGCCGGGCCAGTTTTATTTACCTGCTGACGCGGCAGGTTCGGCTGATCGCGGCCCCCACTGGCCGCAGTTCGCCATCCCAGGCCAATGGGGGCGGCGAGAAGCGGCGTGGGTGAGCGATGTGCTGGCCGCGGCTTCTCGCCGCCCCCATTGGCCCGGGACGGCAAACCGCGGCCAGTGGGGGCAGCGATCGGCCGAACCTGCCGCGTCAGCAGGTAAATAAAACTGGCCCGGCCCCCCAGGGTGCTTACCCTGGCGAGCCGCGTGCCGAACGTTGCCGACCCCTGCTGTCTCTCATTAACTCTGGCTTAGATTCTTTTGCTGTCACTTTCATTGCTCTGATTGTATGGAAAGATGTGCCTAAAAATCATCACAGAAAAAAAGCAGCTCCAGGTGAATAATGCAGCTTCTCTGACACTCAAGACTAGCAGAGACTAACCAACACCTTCACCTGTACTTCAGTCTTTGGAGGACCCAACACCAAATGTGACGGGGGGGGGGGGAAAACAGACAAAGCAAACAGACACAAGCACATTCCAGCCAGAGCAACAGAGAAACAGACTACCACACAAAGAGCTGACAACACTGTGTTTGCAATGCCCCTCAGCTGCTGCACATTTATTTATACCATACCTTCTACAATTAAAGTCAGCACCCATGGTAATGTACTGTACGCCAGAGGGACACCAGCTCAAACTGAGGATATCAAAGGCAGAGAAAGGAAAAGGGCTGCAGTTATTGGATTGTCACAGAAAGGGAATGTTTCAGGACTCGGTTAAACTTATTTAATTTTAGAAAGATTTTTGCATTGTATGTTAATTAATGGTGAGTGAAAGGTACCAGATTGGCAGTCCTAGGACACTAAAGTCCTGTTAGTTACCACAGAACAGGGATGTTACAGGTAGTGGAACAGTGCAAGCTTCCCTCGAACTGCTTCCACCAATGGGTGCCAATACTGAACTGGAGCTGACAGGGGAGCTCACAGCCTTGGGTGAAAATCTGTACCAGCTGTGAGGGAACTTTTTATTCATTTAATTGGCATATGCAACCCAGTCAAGCCAAGCCATAGCATTTTATAGAGAGAGAATGGGATTGAGACCCACAAAGGCCAATTTCACATAAAGCAAATGGCCATGAGGTAACAGGTCTATTAACAACAACAGTAATCAGCACTACTATGGCACCTTACATCCAAGGATCTGAAAAATGCATCACAACCATTGAATGGATTAAGCTCCCCCCACATCAGGTAAGCATATTAACCTCATTTTACAGATGGGGAAGAATGAAGAGGAGAATAAGTGATCCGATCAAGGTTGCACAGCAAGTCAATGTCAGTGCCTGAACAGAAACTACAGCTCTCCTGACTCCAAGTTCTGTGCTGTAACCACTAGGCAATGCGTCTTGCTTTTTAGTTCACAATGAATCTAGGATTAATCCGAATCAGGGACCGTGAAATGAAAGTTTCTCTTGTCAAAATACCAGTGCCAAGAACCAAACAGTCTCCATCTTGCATGTAAAACCATTAGAATTTCAAAACACAGTGACAATTTCTTTGGTTCTCATTTTAAACAATGGTTTCAATTATTATTTCTTTGTGAGTTAGAATTTACATAGTTAAATTTGGCCCTACAAATATGCCCAACGGAGCCCAATTGCAGACTCTTCGAGCTCAGAGAAACTGATTTTCTATTCAGCTGTGGTGCTTAAAGGGGACCTTACTTCTGCACTGCTGCTGGCGGTGGCTCTGCCTTCAGAGCTGGACTCCCAGCCAGCGTGGCGCTGCCGTGCTCCAGCTGCCCAGCTCTGAAGACAGCGCCGCCTTGCGACCCACCCACCCCACAATTAAAATACCGTGAAATTTCAGATTTAAATAGTTGAAATCATGAAATTTACAATTTTAAAAATCCTATGACCGTGAAATTGACCAAAATGGACCGTGAATTTGTTAGGGTCCTAGCCATGATGCATCTGTTAGTGAAGCTCCGGTGCTTGGCAGGCCATCAGATATATAGAAGATCTTTTCTGATTGCTTCCAGAATATTAACATCAATATCCATTATGAACAATCACCTTGCTGTAACGTGCACAACCTTTAAAGTGCATTTGTAATCAGCAGCTAAGTAAACCACCGCAGGGTAAGGAAGTATCTCCATTTTACAGATGGAGAATCTGAAACAAAGGGGATCAGACACTTGCTCAAGGTCACAAAGGGAGTCAGTGTCCTGCTATACTATGAATAACTCGCATCATTTACAACTCCACGGCTGCTCTCACCTTCAGAGTCTGCTGACAGCCTTAGGTGACCTGTGTGTCCCTTAAGACAACGGTTCAACACACTCATGCAGTTGTGTGTGTATTATGGGGGTGAGGTGGGGAAGGAGAGTGTATCCAATTTCCTTCACCATGAAAACTGACCTACAGCTGACAGTTCTGTAGATCTGGGTATATATATATAT